TACTGTATTATAACCAGGCAGTTTTAAAAAAAACTTTGATGCAAACAAACTGATTAGTGCTTCTTTCACAAAGTCTCAAAATTTTGGTGGTTGCAATGCAGCATTCTCGCTGGAACCAAACAGATGTTATTGCAAGAGAGACCACTATTTAAACAAAGACGTTTGCTCTTCCTCTCTTCGTGATGCTATCTTATCACAATTCAAGTGTTTTATAGCAGCACACTGAAATTATGTGTAACAAACAAGGATGTTCAAGATAAATTCTACGAATTATAAAGCAAATACTTCCTTTCTCTGTAAACAGTACAACTGAACCCACTTCTTCAAGAAATCAAGCTATATTTATATTCACCCTCTTGAAATGCTGCAGGCAGCCATAGAAGGCTAAGTTTATAATAAATTCCTATATTTGGAAACCTTTGTTGCTAACCATCTTCTAACATTCAGTACAGTTTATACCATTCATGTCCCTGCTACCTAATTGACATTTCATATGTTTAAAAAAAGGGGAAAAAAAAAAAAAGTGCAGTACTTATCTTTGTCATTAAATCAAAACTATTATGTTTCTTAGGGAATTAATAAAAAGACTGTGTGGCAAATTAATTAAAGCAGAAGCAACAAGATCTCAGGGACAAACACTGACAATATGAACAAGGATATGGCAGAGTCTTTCTTGTAGACACTGCCTCTGCTTGAGATAAAACAATTCAGAAGGCAGCTCTTCACTCTAAAAGGTAGTCTTAATTTAGAACACAGTAGACCTCTCCCAGTTTTAAGAATATGACTCTTAGCTGCACATATAGCTAAGCCCTTGCCAAGAATTCTGTGCATCTGAATCCCTCAGAGGACACCCAAGTCCTCAAGAGTCTACCACAAGGAGCCTGTTGCAAGGTGATGTCCACATGTCCAGCACCCATCAAAGTACTTGAAGGTTTTCCATACTATGCTGCTAACCTACATGAAAGTATGCAGTTAATTGTGGAAACGGCAAGTATATTGCTAGGCAGTAGAAGGTCACAGAAATCCCAATTTCTCCAACACAGTCACTACAGATAATGTAACACTGGACAGAGACAAGGTACACTGATTCTGAAAGCACTGCATCTAAGCTACCGATACTTGCCATGTTAGAAATACCAGGTTTACATTTAATTCTGCTGGAAGGACCATAGTTATTTGTAAATCAGACAAATAATACTCGCTCAATATGTGAGGGGAATACAAGCACTCTGCACAGCAGTGCGGGCTGAGATAGATACATTTACAGAGCTGATGCCTGTCACCCTCTTGCAACAATACTGTAAGCTTCATGATACCTAGCGTTCTTCCTATGAAGTCAAAGTTTTGCAATTTCATTTTGTGAGAAACCAGAATTGTATCTTTAGCAGAGGAAAAGGCAGCACTGGAAAACAAATTCCCTCATATTTTAAAAATTCAGCAGATCAAATAAAACCACTCAACTGATTATTGTATCTGTCTATATATAACTATTTTATAAATGTTTGGTCATAATACCCTGTTTGGAAAAGCTCAGAGCACACTGTATAGACTCTCCAGGTTTCTTGTCCACCTCTCCTTTCCTTGCCCATTCCAGCATATATAACACCGCAAGTCTGTACACACCATATACACAGGGGCCTGGAAACACTCAGTGAAAGCAGAACATTAAAAACTCCTAAAACTTCTTAGGGACTTCCATGAAAATGTACAGAGTTGCTGAACAGAAAACTTGGTTGTCTGACCCCAGAAGTACCACCAACCAGTTCCTGCACTAGAGAACAAATAACTTCTGCCAAGAAAATAGCTGGAGTATGTTTAACTCTACAATAGCTATTTACTTTTCACATGATCTTCAGAGTTATACAAAAGACAAACATCAAAGCTTTTATAATAAAGTAGCTTAGAAAACCTAACTATAAATGCAAAAGTGAAATAAAAGTGAAATGTTTGCCTATCATAGGCCTACAATTACTACATGTGTTACATTAATTACCATTACAAACCCCTGGCTTACATAAGCAGTATATACACAGTACATGCCCTAAAGACCAGAGTTGAAATATCAGGTAAGGAAGGATGAGTCCTTTGGAAATGATCTAAACTTAGTATTAAGAATATGAACATATTTAAACATAGCTTGCAAACTTTTAGGCTTTCTAGCCACAACTCAAGTGCCTACAGATATAAATGGGGTAATCAGGACTCCTGGGTGAGATGGTTTAGTGTGAGGTGTCCCTGCCCATGGCAGAGGGGTTGGAACTAGATGATCTTAAGGTCCTTTCCAACCCTAACTATTCTATGATGCTGTGATTCTATGACTTCAGTCTCCCAAAGATCACTGCTGCAATACAATTAGAGAGCAACAATAACCTTGTACCCAAAACTGAACTTATGTTTCTGAGTTCAGAATTCCTGCTTCTAAATTAGTTTTCATGTTTCACCTGTACTTATACACCCATCATCTGCAGAAGTGGCGCGAGCAACCTTAAATTTTGTAAAAGAACTCTTAACACAGCTATTGCCTCAACATTAAGCATTTTGGTTATTTCAAAGTGTGCACCAGCAGTCAACTGTATGTTTGTATCACAGTTTATGTTGCAATAGATTTGAAATACAAGGTTCAGTTCTGAGCCCTACATTAGCAAAAGATTATTGACAAACTGGAGGGAGTTCAGAGAAAATGAACAAGATTTCTCAGAAGGCAGGAAGGACTTATTTATGAGAAAAGATTAAAAGAGCTAAATATTTATAGCTTGGCTCAATAATGAATTAGGAGGTAGGGGACATGAGAACAGCCTAGAGATATCCGAAGGGTGTAAACACTAAGGAGGGAGAGTGAACGGGTTATACAAGGATGTAAATAGAAATAATGGAATAAAACTAAACAAGGAAACCTTCGGCTGAGTATCAGAGAGCATTCCTGGACAAGCTATCTTGGCCCACAGTTCAGTTTCTTAAGTGAAGCAGCAGAAGCCCACTGTTTAGAACAACAAACAAGACCAGACAAAACACTGGAAAATTTTCTATATGAAATAACCTTGCTCTCCTGATGAGAAATATTATTACTTATCATTATGAGGTAATATTATTACCTCATAAAATCTAGTCTTTTCTAAGCTTAGCTTCAGTGAAAGCACTAGTATTTTACAGGGTGTTGAAAACTTAATATAAAAATTGGTACTCAAGAGCTTCATCAGAAAAAACAGAATCCAACTGAGACTGTTCTTTAACAATGAGCAACTTAAATTCAGTTTATGTCATACTTCGACAAAACCATGCTTCTGGAACTCTTTGAAAAATACATGTGGGGTACAAAGAGTTAACTGTGCTGGACTGTATTATCCCCAGCAGAGGCCACTCCAAGTTGACAAACGACAAGAAAATTTTAACAGCATTCAAGAACAAAGATCAATAGAAAGGAGACATCCTCCTTCACACATTCGCAGTGTTAGCTCTGGCTACAAAGCTCTCGGATAGTCCTGCAAACAGTCACAGGTAGATGCCAGAAATTTTGACTCTAGATAGGACATAATGTTCAATTTGCACAACATTCAAAATTTCTTTCTAAAAGGCCCTCATAAAGTGTATAAATATCACCAATTTGCAGCTGGATTATGAAGTGTGCAGAATCTATGTGCACAAGGAAAGTCCAGGCTGGGTCATGTTTGGAACTGAAACCACAACACTTCTCACTGAAAGTTTTAGATTAGTTAAGTATTTACTATGTGACGACTGTGAGACAGGCAGACTGAGAGGCTTCCAAAAACAGAGAAAAGGAAGTAAAAAGGGAGCTCATCTTTTTCTTGTTGTTGTTTGCATATATTTGTTTTAAAATGAATGTTTGCTTAGAGCTTAAAACACAACTGAGGCCAACTGAAGCAAACTATAAAATGAATAGTCTGTGTTTGTACGCATTTTTTTCTTCTTGATCCATACAAAAGTCCATAAATCCATATTTGAGAACTATCCCTTAAAAATTCAGGAAACTGGCAAGCAAAAACCTTGCTGTTCCAGGTGCCATCACCCTTAGTAAAACTTCTGTCATCTTCATAGTTAATTCTGATGCAAGAATTAACTGTGCACTGTGCCACTGCCAGAGGAAGCTGTTCCAGTGCCAAAGGAAATAAAAGTAACCAGCACATAAAGCAAACATACTCGCAAACTACAAGGGAGAAAACACACATAAGCCGAGCTGAAGAGTCATATTTTGATTAGACTGTTTTAAAAGGTTGCTCATGGTCCAACACTTAAACCGTGTAGACGCATTCTAGCAAAACGTAGTAATTGATGCTTTTAATATTTCATCCAAGGAAAACAAAAGTGAACTTGAGTTTAAGTATTCCCTGGAACATACTGAACCCTGTCTGTATAATGTGTGGATAATTCTCCAGGTTATGCCTGTGCTGGAGGCCAGAGGCACTTCCCAGCCCCCAGCTCTGGCCATGCTCTCTAGTTCTCCCAGTTCTATGGCACAGCTTGACCCAGGTGCACAAGATCCCCTCACTCATGTCACAAGCTCCACACTTGCACGCAAATGAAATACAAGCACAAAAGAAGGGAGCCACAGTAAACACCACTCAGGCCCACAGTCTTCCGGGAACAAGGACAGCCTGTCCAGCCTGAGTGACTTCATTTTTTTGTATGGAAGGGGCAGGATCTACAGTAGAAAAACTCTCTGGGATACATCAGGTACCTCACTAAACCATGGGTTTACTGAGAGACAGCTAGCTCTCTAATATGGAACAACTGGCACAGAGGACTCCCCAGTGTTACTTATCTTGACATTCACTTTTCAAATCTATTAATACTCAAAGGGTTTTTTTTCTGATGTGCCCAGGAGCAGACTGGTGTTCCTTGTGCTCCATGCTTGGCTATATTTTCTTTGACACAAAAATTAAATTTCATTGGTTTAAAAGCTATTAGTACAGACTGTGGAATTTTTTAAACAAAATAAAGAGATTAATAAAGTAAGATCCTAAATAAGATGCACAAAGTCTTACCTGCTTCCTTGCACAAAGCTGCTAAGTCTGCTCCCACATAACCATGTGCGCTATCAGCTAGTTGTGCCAACTCTGCTGCTGTGAGTGAATGGGGGACTTTCTTGAGAAGCTTTTGGAGTATGTCCAGGCGGTCTTGGGCATTAGGGACTCCAATTTCAATCTCTTTATCAAAACGCCCAGGTCTGCGCAGTGCTGCATCCAGTGCATGAGGACGGTTAGTGGCCCCAAGTACCAAGAGCTGTCCTTCACTGCCCTCCTGAAGGCATCAAACAATGCAAAATATTAATTTTAAAATACAAGCAAATGATACACAGCTTATAAATATACTTCTTGCTTAATTTTCCCAATTATGACACACATTAAAATTCTGAGATCCTATAGAGGAAGAAAGCAAACTTTTCAGAATATATAGGCCACAAATGATCCCATCCAACCTATCCCTAATTGCAATTTAGCAATATTGTAAGCTGCACATACTGATAATACAAGAGAACCTTTCCTCCAAGATGCCCTCAATCTAGTGTTTCCCACTTTAATCCCCAAGTGCTTACTTTTCTATCTTGCTTTACGTATCAGGAAAGTAAGCATCAAGGAAAGAAAAAGCAGTGTTTAAGCTAAAAGGCAGCATCGCCACAAGAACAGAAAGGTATCAGAAGACCTTGAATAAACAAGGTTGGGAAACAAATAATTTAAGGCATCAAAACCAGCAGAGACAGGAGGTTATAAAGCTTCCTATAGCTACAGCAGGAAAACCAAGGTCAAAAATCCTAAACAATTTCCTCAGGCTCTGCTGTTGCACTGTTAGGGTGAGGCAAAATCAGCTAAGAAGTCTCTTGCAGTACCACTCTCTTAGTGAATGAAGTACTCATTCACTAAGAGTGAAGAGTATCTCCCTTTGCCATCAGAAAACATGTTCTGCCTGTGAACAACTCCAGACTGGACAACTCAAACTATCATGCAGAAAAATAATGAAAAACTTGCAGATCACATAAAACAGCACAAAACTAATTTTCATACTGTGGAGAGATTTCTTTCATGTTTGCTGCTGATAATCATAAAACTATCAATGAGAGATTGCCAACTTTGTGGGCTTAATCCATAATGTACTGAACTCAAATGTACTGCTTCTTCAGAAGGCTTTTTTTATGGCCCAAATATTACTATGGCAATCTTGAAATACCTGTTGTTGCCCTTAATAATGCAGCCTACATATCACCAGAAATATTTTCATGACTTTGATTTCAGAGCAAAAAGAAATCCAGAAAATCTGGATTTGTTCAATGATGGGCTATTCACCTGTGAATCTACAAGAGTGGAAGAAGGCAAAGGGAAGACAGTGAACGGAAGAAAGCTTTCAATCTCATAGCTATCAGGAGACATTCTCCTCCTATGTCTTCCACTTAGCACCTAACAAAGCATTAGATTACTATATAAAGTCTCACTTAAGCCTGTTTTCTCCCAAATGACTCATCTAGAATTGGCTGTTTTATAGAAGCAAAATTATTTTGGGCAGCTAGTCCCCACAGACATTAATTGTTGCAATACAGGCTACTTACAGAGCCAATGCCATCCATTAACGTCAGCAGTGAAGCAACAACTCTCTTTTCAACTTCATTCTGAGCCCCTTCTCTCTTGGGACAGAGTGCATCCAACTCATCTATAAATATAATGGAGGGCTGACTGGAAAGGGAAAAAAAATGGGGGGGGGAGGGCAATTAATGTTAAGGTTCTCAGGAACATTTAAAACACCAAGGCAGAGAAATACTAAGCTGTTTATGAAGAACATCCAGTTCCCACAAAAATTGACAAGCATTCCACTCCTTCCGGTGGAAGCTGGAAAGTTTCAACCTTGAACTAAAATGACTAATATATCAAACAGCTAATACCTTCAAGATGACCTACCAATCTACGTTTTTACTTCTCCCTCCCAAAGACTCAACATGAGTAAAAAGGCAGCAGTTTATTTGCCTCTTCTACAAATACAGTATGTGAGCCTTTTGCTGATGTACTGTGAACACCAATCATCTGGAAATCTAAAGTCTGCCTTAACCAGGTCTAATTTGGTCAGAATGCCAGCTTAATCCAGAAGCATGCTATAGTTATAACCAACACTAGCTCATTTAGAACTGGCTTCCATGGCTCAGCAGCATGCTACATTGCTCTCCAAAGATAAAACTAGAGAGAAAAAAATTGGATCCAGGTGAAACTCTGGCTCCTGCTTCTATCTGTTGAAATAAGCATACACACAACCCACTAACGATACAGGTTGAGCGATTTGGCACCATCTACAACAGTCCCTTAGAAAGGGTAGTGTCCAAAAGCATTTAATAGGCATACTAGAATTTCACTGCTTTCCTTCTAGCTAAGCTCTATATAAACAAATTTACTTACTCTTAAAAACCACTGCAGGAAAAAACTACAATTCAATGATTCTTGCAAATGTTTTTCTTAAAGAACATTAATGCTGGAATCAATACTGCAAATAAGTGGTAAAAGTAAAAATTATCCAAAAGAACGTACCACAAGGAAGCTTCAGCAAATACCTGACGTAATCTTGATTCAGACTCCCCATAAAACCTAAAATAATTAAAATACTTCAGTAAAAATCATTTTTTGGTCTTTTCCAGGCAACTTGGAAAACTCCTGTGTGTTCCAAAAAGCCATAGCACACCATTTCAAAGTCCCCAAGTACATGCAAATCTACAACAATCTTTATTTCCACAAGAACAAGAAACTGAGGTAAAATGGAACACAGGCAAACATATTGCCATCTTGTAACTAGAATGAAGATTAAAGGACAAAGCTCCTTTCTGTGTTAATTTTATCTACATTTTTAAAGCAAACAAACAAATAATTCCCAGGAGACATTACTTGGTGCAGTGTCACCTTCATTTCAATTATGCTTTAACAAGCCATGCTTCTTGTTGCAGAACTAACATGCAATTGCGGATGCAGTTTTAATCCCCTCTTTAATTTAGTTCTTGCCTTACACAAATTTATTGGGTAAATCCAATAAACCTCTCTTATTACATGAAGAAACATAAGTTCTACTGGAGACAACCTTTTCCCATTCGTTTTTTTACTTTCTTGGGCAGATAGCCCATACCCAGTTCTACATCTATCCACAGACAGACGCCAGGAGAGACTTCAAGCTAATGTATTTTTTAAATCAATGAAAATAAATTGGGTCGACTTACTTGCTGATTATTTCAGGACCATTAATAACAGTAACATGAGCGCCAACCTCATTTGCAATTGCTTTGGCAATCATAGTCTTCCCAGTACCTGGAGGACCATACAGGAGTACTCCTCTAGGAGGACGGATCCCTTTCAACAAGCACATGCACACAGAGAAGGAAGTTATTTGTGATAAATGCCAGTCTGAACAACCTGCACTTGCACATTTTCACTGTCCTAGTTATTACCAGCTATAACTTGGCCTCAGCATTAACTTCTTTAACACATGCATCATTTTGATAGAATTGTAGGCTTTCAGTAGAAAGAACACTCTTATACAGAGCACAGACCTATATTTTTACTTTTAAAGGCCAGATGCTTCTGTTTAAAAAGCAACTATTTCAATCATTAAATTTTTCAGTAGTTCAACATTATAATTCTCCAAATGCATTGTGGTGTTTGGTTTTGAGGTTTTTTTTCAAAAAAACTATTGGACTGAGTACCTAACATCCATGAATGTGCTTTAATAAGTTATTAATGATTCTTAGTGTCATTATTATAAATTTCCAATGTCAGAAAACCACTTTTCCCTCAGAAATACTGTGAGGTTCGATTCAGAAAAATCCTTCAGAAATACTGAGGTTCGACTCAAGAATACTTATTAAAAAAAATGAAGAACACACATCAAAAGGATTAATTTGCCTCTTTAGTGGCAAATGTTACAAGCTAAAACAGACAGAAACATTCAGGCACAGAACATAAGGGGCACCAGAAGAACAAGGTACGACTGAGTGCAGTTAAAACTGGACAAAAACTACAGGTAACTGCATGAAGCACTATTATGATCCCAGGCAGAGGCCCCCAAAAAGTTTCAGATCAGCAAAAGCCAAACTGAATGGTCACAAAGCCAAAAACAGAAGATGAAAAATTAGAAAGCAAAAAGAATAAAAGTCTGACAAAGGACTGACCCTGTCACTAAAGGCATTGCTGAAACCCAACCAAAGAAGAAACATCAGTTGGTACTGCAATACCAGACAGAGAACAATGCTTGAAGGGCAAGTCACATCCCAGTGGTGATGGAGAATAACAGAGCTAGTATAAACAGAAAGTCCAAATATGAGGAACTAACATACTCAAAAGAAATAAACTGTCTCCTAACTGTCACAGAAGTAAGGTCTTTAAGGAGAGGTTACTTTACAACAGTCCACTAAAGTATGTGCTGCTCCCTCATGCGGTGTTTCTGGTATTGGCAAGAAACAGAGCTGCTGAACCAAGGTCTCTCCCATGAGGAGACAAGGGCTCTCAACGTTTTAATGGTTATGAAAGGTATGCAACTGATGAGGAAACATCATCATCTCTCATGTAATTAATACAGAAGCTGATCAAGCAGTTTTGGGACTAAGTATGAAGAACACTGATGCTGAAGCAAACTTTCTGCTAACACAAAATCATGTGGTGATGCTGAGGTTGGAGGCCAGTGAATTGAGCTGGACCACATGAGGATGAAGATGCCTCACACCATTCCATTGACCCCTGCCCATCACAGCCAAGCAATGTACTCCAAAAGAGTGTCTTTTGGGAATTTTCCCAGTGATAAATGAAATCATGTCCTCCCTAAGCCTATGTGTGGAAAGAGATAAGAAAGAGAAATAAAAAGCCTCAAAGACATCATATTAAAGAAATATTTACAGGTAAAAGCCCTGTCTCACAGTGACCCACACCTAAACAAGCACAATGAGCAGAAGCACCTATTTTATACATATCCATTTGTAATAAATACACAGTACAGAGTTTTATCTTTGCCACAAAAATCCCTAAAGTTTCTATATATGTTAAGTATGACTTTATATATGGCAACAGTAATCATGTTAGTTTTTCTACCTTGTCATTCCCTACTAAACACACTGAGTAGTGAGTTAACAGCCTCAAAAACTTCCCCAAAATTTTGCAGGAACACACAGGGATAAAAACAGCAGGTAACTTAATCCAACTGAGTTTTTATCAACTTAAAAATACGTAATTAGTTGCCTCTACCAGAACAAACTGAAATCTTATGAAAACACAAACATCTGCACTTTTAAATGCACAAGAAGTCTGTCTTATTTGCTGTAAAACCTGCTGATGCATGCCTGAATTTTTTTGTACAGACACGTATTTCTTCCCTACTACATTTTTCATGAGCTAATCATAACATCTTCATAGTATCCATACAGCAAGCATTATAAAACAGCTTGACATTGTTCAAACATACATGTATGCCACACCAGCATTAAATAAAATTCTGTGGATATTCCTGGAATAGCTTGGTTTTACAAAAAATTAAACAAAGTAAAAGTCACGTTAAAGAAGAAAAACTAGTATAAAACGAAGAAAGCCAACTATTAGGCATCATACCATAACTCTTGAACAGTTCAGGTTGCTTCAAGGGCAGTTCAACTGTTTCTCTAATAGTTCTGAGCTGGCTGCTTAGACCTCCTATCGTATCATAGGTGACTTGGGATTCACAGTCACCATCATCTGTTGCACTGGACCTTGTTTCAATAAAATTGATTCTAGTTCTTGAAGAAATGAAATAAAAAGTGTCTGTACTGCTTATTGTTCCAGTTTTGCCACTCAGTGGGAGTCTCTCACTGCCTCCTTTCCCAGGCAACTCCAAATTACTACTGAGGTCTGCGCCATCTCCCTTGCTGCAGGTTTTCTCTCCCTGACCAGCACCTTGATCACTGGCTGTCCCAGCAGAATTGGGTGTAAGTGATGAACTTGGATCTGTCAGTTTGCTTGGTGTGCTCATAGATGCAACCTCTGGACTATTGTCAATGTCCATCTTGCCGAGCTGGAAGGACAAATCTAACATACTTGTGTCCAAATTTGATCCTTCAAGGTCTGGCTCATGCACATCACCAGAAACGGCACTGCCCTGGGCAGTCAGCTCTGCACCATCAGTTCCTTTCACTTTCATCACCACGATGTTACAAAGTCTGCCATAGAAGGTGAAAGCCAAGAGGTTTCCTGGTAAAACAATTTTCCCATCTATGGGAAGATTAAAAAAAAAAGAAAAAAAGAAAAAAAGAAAAAAGACAATGTTTCAATCTACTTTGGCAGCAATAACATTCAGACATTCTTGTACCAGAACAATTCTTTGTGAGGAAGACTAGGGAGGGAGTGCTCTAAATAAGCATAACAAAAGACAGGTAATTTCCATGTAACTTCAGTTAATTTCAATAATCCTTTTATGCACAAACAGACTACTGGATAAACATTCACCCATACCATATGTAATCTCTCACACCAAACATCATTAGTTTGACTCTTTTAAATTTCACACACCATACAAAAGGAGATTATGGAATTAGTAAGAAGTAAAAATTTTGTATCTGTTCTATGCCTTATAAGTTCACATCAGTTCATGGTTAGACAACCTTCTTTGAGAGTCTTGGCCTAACAAAAAGCCAAGGTTTTTAGCCTTTGCACTGACAGAGAAAGATTAAGCAATGTGATCTGAACACACCCCACAGGCACAAAAACCACAAAGGCAGAAATGTAAACATGATTTATTATCTCCAAACTCAAGAATTTGAAATGCAGATTGTTTTCTGCTTCTTAGCATAGCAATACTCTTACTAATTCCTAAATCAGAATATTCCCTTTGAGCAGAACAATTTGCATTGAGTGCTTTGGGTAGTGCTATATCTTCCACAGGTTAACTGGCTTTTTTTCCCTTACTTACATTTATGTACCAACCAATAAAGAGCAATTTTCCTCATTTATCACCAACACAAAAAAATGTAATTCAGAGTATAGGATTTCATGTTAATATTGATCTTTTATCTTGTTTTTAAGGCATAGTATTACACTATTTTCTTCACACTGCAAGTAAATTCCGAACAGCATCACAATATAAGCCAGAAGGCCAGCAATGATTGCTAAAAAGCCATAACCTGAACCAGTAGTATGTATAATGATCACAAGAAATAGATCACAATTAATGTAAATTACATATTTACAGCATGGCAAAATTATTTAGCCCAAATAAGACAAATCCCTAAAAAAAGCACTAGCAGGATAACGTACTCTATTTTGCTATAAGCTCTCAACTGAGAACATTAGAGGAAACTGTTTTCCTATCCAGAACTTGTGCATCTACTATAAAAATTAAACAGTCAAAAGAGAAGCAAGAAAACTTGTACCTAGGTTTCTCAGTAGACAGACAGACATTTCCTCGGCATTAATGGTGGCATCTTTGTCCCTGCAGTAGGAAGGAAAAAAAAACAACGTATTTTTCCAAGCAGTAACTACTTCAAAACCAAAACAGAGTCCACACCATTAAGGCACCAAGCAAATAAATACCACCTGTTTTAAAGGGTATCATTTAACCCCACAAACAGATGGATGAGCACTTGCCAGTCTTCACATTATAGAATCATAGAATAGTTAGGGTTGGAAAAGACCTTAAGATCATCTAGTTCCAACCCCCCTGCCATGGGCACGAACATCTCACAGTAAACCGTCACACAAGGTTCTCTCCAACCAGGCCTTGAACACTGCCAGGGATGGAGCATTTCACAGCTTCCCTGGGCAACCCATTCCAGTGTCTCATCACCCTTACAGTAAAGAACTTCCCCTGTTTAAGTTTGAACCTGTTACCCCTTCTCCTATCACTACAGTCCCTAATGAAGAGTGCCTCCCCAGCATCCTTATAAGCCCCCTTCAGATACTGGAAGGCTGCTATGAGGTCTCCACGCAGCCTTCCTTTCTCCAGGCTGAACAGCCCCAACTTTCTCAGCCTGTTTTCATACGGGAGGTGATCCAGTCCCGTGATCATACTTGTGGCCTTTCTCTAGTCTTGTTCCAACAGTTCCATGTCCTTTATGTTGAGGACACCAGAACTGCACACAATACTCCACGTGAGGTCTCACGAGAGCAGAGCAGAGGGGCAGGATCACCTCCTTCGACCTGCTGGTCATGCTCCTTTTGATGCAGCCCAGGATATGGCTGGCTTTCTGGGCTGCAAGCGCACACTGCCAGGTCATGGTAAGTTTCTCACTGAAACACCCCCAAGTCCTTATCCACAGGACTGCTCTGAATCTCTTCTCTGCCCAACCTGTAGCTGTGTCTGGGATCGCTCTGACCCAGGTGTAGGACCTTGCACTTGTCATGGTTAAACTTCGTAAGGCTGGTATCAGCCCACCTCACAAGAATGTCGAGGTCCCTCTGGATGGCATTCCTTCCCTCCAGCGTATCAACCAAACCACACAGCTTGGTGTCATCGGCAAACTTGCTGAAGACGCACTCCATCCCACCGTCCATATCAGCGACAAAGATGTTGAACAAGACCAGTCCCAACATTGATCCCTGAGGGACATCCCTCATTACTGGTCTCCAGCTGGACGTTGAGCCATTGACCACAACTCTTTGCATGCGACCATCCAGCCAGTTCTTTATCCACTGAGTGGTCCATCCATAAAATTGATGTCCCTCCAATTCAGAGACAAAGATGTTATGCGGGACAGTCTCAAATGCTTTGCACAAGTCCAGGTAGATGACATCAACTGCTCTACCCCTGTCCATCAGTTCTCTAGCCCCATCATAGAAGGCCAGCAAATTGGTGAGGCAGGATTTCCCCTTAGTGAAGCCATGCTGGCTGTCACCAAGCACCTTTTTGTTTTTCATGTGCCTTAGCATGCCTTCCAGGAGAATCTGCTCCAAGATTTTGCCAGGCACAGAAGTGAGACTGATTGGTCTGTAGTTCCCTGGGTCATCCATTTTTCCATTCTTGAAAATGGGGGTTATATTTCCCTTTTTCCAATTATTGGGAACTTCACCTGACTGCCATGATTTTTCAAATATTATGTGACAGTGGCTTAGCAACTTCATTCACCAGCTCCTTCAGGACCCGCAGATGGATTTTATCAGGTCCCACTGACTTGTGCACGTTCAGATTTTTAAGATGGTCTCGAAACAGATCCTCTCCTACAGTGGGCCTAAGGTCATCATTCTCACAGTCCCTGCATCTGCCTTACAAGACTTGGGTGGTGTGGTCAGAGCATTTGCCAATGAAGACTGAAGCAAAGAAGTCATTATGAGCCTCAGCCTTCTTCAAATCCAGGGTAGCCAGTTCTCCTGATAGCTTCTGGAGAGGGCCTACATTGTCCCTGGTCTGTTTTTTATACCATCTGAATATTAGACACACAGCAACAAAAAAAAGCATGCATACTGAATTCTGGGTTAGTTTTTCTATACATAATGCTATAATAAACAATATCATAACTTATATTTACCATTTTTTAAGATTAAAAATACAAAATGCACGCTTCTCATCTCACCATGCAAAACAGCCGTTGCTACATTTACTGAATTTAAAAATATTACAGATAAAATAACTCTCTTCCAGCCCTGCAAACACACATACGTATCTTCTAATCACGAAAGTAGCACCTTCAGCACTTGCAAAACCATGCATGCCTTAAGCACTGCATATCCACTATCAAACCAGTACAATTCCTATCCACAACATATTTTCTAATCTTTTAATTAACCAAGTTTAAGTGACTCGACGGATAAGCCTTAAGCCTCACCAGCCCTGGCCAGGCCTACAGCATTTTCTCAACTGGGATTTAAAACACAACTTAACAAATGTGATCTTAACCTAAAGCAAGTGAAAGGTAAAAAGTGTCTTGTGAGAATGTCATTCTCCAGTGTCTATTAAAATACTTTATGTCACTAAGAGCACAGACATCATTATCTCTCCCCACTCCTCAGATACACTGTGATGTACAAGACTGTGGCAATTCAGGGTGTTTTTTTCTTCCGTGGTAGCTTACCCATACAACCTTTTTCCTCTTTCATTTGCAGCTTTACCTTTCACTAAAGGCCATTAAACTGGGGCTTTTTGCAGCAGTTTCTTAATTCTGTAGGATTTAACCCTCTCAGCTAATCTGTAGAAACCTCACACATTAGCCTTTCTGGTTTCACAACAAGATGTTTTGACTGCATCCATGTTTGCAGAGAACTGTCCACAACCTTTGCACTTTTACTGAAAAGCATTACAGCAAGAGCTAAACAGCACCAACGCCAAGGCATTTGTTACAGCTACTGCAAATAAAAGTATGATCAACGGGGGGCGCTCTAAACCTAGAAATAAACCCCCATTTCTCAATTCTACTGATAACAAAGTGACTTGAGGGAAAGAGGTGTATTATGCTAATTTAGAGGAGCACACTCAAAATATCATTGCCATTCCTGACAACTAAACACATCTTGTTACGTTTTTGGAGTCTGAGGTTGGGGATTGATTTAAAAAAATAAAAAAAAAGGGAAGAAAAAAGCTACATTATGTAAGGAAGCAACTCCCTAGAGGTATTAATTTGCAGAGAAGGAGCTGCAACTGTGAAGTGTCTAGAAATCTAGGCAGTACTCAGATAATGGGATTTCCATTTCTTTTAATGATTTATATTTTTACATGGTAGAATGGTACTAAGGGTTGTAATAAGCGAATAGGATTAAAACAGATCAGTTACAGTTTTCTTTTTTTCCTAGAGTAATTCTAGAAAAACAGCCATTTGTATGACTTTTAATCTGGGGGTACATACGTATAACAACCCTCAGAGTCTGACTCTTGACTGGCCAAGAGGGAAACCTCTGACTGTGGAACAGTTTCCAAAGAAAATTACAGTAATCAAATATTCCTGAAGTTACACATGCAATTCCTCTGACCTCATCTAGCTTGTATTTCAGTAAAAGTCTGAGCTTTGAAGAAAGATGCATATTAACATGGGGAAATATAAGCAGATTATGCTTAATTATTTAATTTAATGTGGGGTTCACTTTTTAACGAAATGACTGTTTTCAAACACTTCTATAAACAAACAGTATGTAATAATAGTAAAACTTTCTATAGGATTAAATTAACCGTATCAAAAGATATCTTTTTTTGCATTTTCTGGTAAGGAGAGAGGCACAGAGGGCAACGCAAGCCGATGGCAGGAAGTCAGCACACGATGTGCAGCCAAATTAACCACCAAAACTGTAATTAAAGTTAAGTTGGTTATAATCCTGACACAAAGCAAGACTGCCTCACTAGCATTTCTGAGAGTCAGTACACTGGAAAACAGCATCTTCCTGTTAAAATGGATGACAATGTCATGTTTGAAAACAGAGGCTTGATGGGGAAGTGAAGTTAATTTATAGAAATTGAAGTGTTGGCACACTTTCAAAGCAACTGTAAAATAACTTTATCTAAGAATTAACTATAATCAGGTTTTGCATCAACCCAAATGCTGACTGTGGAATGTTTTGAGAATGACAAATACAGGAAGTCTGTATTCTGCAGACTGGTAAAATGTTAATTTCTCAACGCACTCACAATTTCAAGACAACTGTGATTTGTAACTTTTGCTTCTTTTTTTGGACTGAATTTCAATTAAAAAAGAAACAGCTCAGAATTTCCAATCCTAAAAAATATTCCAGTAAATAAAAGCTGAGCACAAAGCCACAAATATATAAAGGGCAAGTTTTGAAGGGAAGTAGTTAAAAAAAATATAAAATCACTGTCCCCAAGCTGTCAGCCAGTATTTCTCTTAACCACAACAGGACTTTTCAACAAGAGCTTCTCAGATAGCAGTGTGCAGCTTAGTTTGTAATGACAACAGCAGCAACACAGACTCCTTCTAACTTGACACCAACCTATACACAGAGAGATTATCCTCACCATTTACAAGTGACTTACAAGTTCAACGAATCTGCCTTGATCGTGCAGTTACACACCCTTGCCTGATGTAAATGCAATGCACCTAGCTTGACCTCTGCTTCAGGAGATGCTGGGCTATTGTTACTACTCATTAATTCTTAAGACGAATGAGCTTAATGTCATTATGTCCCTCACAACAGCACCTCACTTGAGATTTTGTACAACAGCTAAGCCACTCCGCTGCGCGCACAGGGGGCTGCAGTTAGTGGCAGTAAACCAACAGTTTTTAAACTTTAATCTTAACCCTGCAAACATCTGCACTTGTTTGATTTTGTTTGGGTACTAATACCATCAAAGCAAGAGAAAAAAAAATAGTATTTTCTAAGAGGTAGGAGTCAGCAGTATAAAGCAGACACCTCACTAGGTTATAACAAGTTCCATACCTCAACTTTACATTGATTTCCTCTGCCTGGATGACTGCACCAATTACAGGCTGCACAGTGACAGCATCACCCAGATTTGCTTTCAAGTTCTTCTGTGTGGTTTCACTCAGCCCAACTTTCCCACCTGGAAAGCCTGTGGTGGGCCAAGCAGTACAGACCTAGGAAGAGGATGCAAACAAACAACTGTCAGTTAAGATGGATTTTTCTTCCCACCATTTCCAGGCCTCCACTTAGGAAGAACAATGTTTTACTATAAAAAACATCTGCTGAGGGGGAAGAAGGATTAGGTTAAAACTTCGTGCCACAGAGTAAGATACTGAGTAGCACTGAGTTCTTAAGATATTATCCAAGACGCTTTTCAAGAAAGAAGGGGTTATACTTTGCCTATAAAGAAGATAAAAATTTATTCAAGACCCTACACATTTTGCAGATGACCCAAAAGTATACACTGTAAGAAATGCCTCAAATCAATGAAGAAAGAAAAGTGCTGTACTCTTTCTTTGCAAATAAAACATGTGTCCATATATCATACAAAATATAATACATATATTCACACGACATACATTTCTGGGAAAAAAAAATCAGTACTGAAAATAAAGATGCAACTACAGAGTAGAAAACATGGATAAGCCCATTCACTATCTTTCTCAATGCATGCTCCATTTTGGTCTCTGCTGAATACAAGAGAAACATGCTGAAAGCCCCAGAAAAAGCACTTGTACGAATAATTAAGTCTCACCTCCTGTAGTCCATTAGCAGACGTAATCAAGACCGGACGACCTATGCATATGTTTGCAGACTTCATGCTGCTCAGTGACAGCTGGGCAAGGGCTCTTCGCAACATATTTGGAACTTTATCATCTCCTAATATTTTCAAAAGAAAAAAAAAACAAACAAAAAAACCTCAAAAAACATCATTTTTCCCTACCTGTCAGATTAATTCAGTGTTTCTTGCACTCCCCAATCAGTATAACTAAGAAAACCCTTCTAAGCCCCCATGAATGGCAGCACCCAGCTATGAGCGAAGTGCAGGTACCATCCTGGGTCCGCGCTGTAAGGGGACAGTGTTTTCGACAGGTCTGAAAACAGTCATGGCAATGTGGACTGACAGATTTCCCAACCCATTTTAACTAACAAGCAGCAACAAAATAACATACAAACAAAACCAATTACACCGGGCTCAGCCGACCTTGCCCGAGAGAGACTCACTTCCCCGAAAGGCCCGTCTCCGTGAGAGGACCGGGCAGCCCCTAGAACCCTGCTTCCGGGGGCCAGACTCCTTCTGGCACCCATGCGAGCGCAGTTTTGCAGGGACTCATTTTTAAACGAGCCGCCCTCAGCCCGGCGGCCGGGTCAGACATTGGCCCGTCCTCGCCGCAACTACTCGCGTACCTGCCTCCACGGCGTCAGAGACGCCCAGCACCAGCGGCCCGCCCTCGGCAGCGTCAAGGGGAACGGAGCGCGGAGAGCCATCGCTGCCACCGCTGTCTGGGACCGGCCTCCCCTTGCTCTTCCTTCTGGAAGACGCGGACATGCTGCCCCGCCGGCTGTCGCAGAGCGCTTCCGGGAGCAGAGGCCGGCACCGCCCATGGGGTGGCCTCGTCTCGCCCGGCTCAGTCTCACGCAGCGCCATGGTGAGGCCGTGGTGGGCGCTGCGCCGTGCGCGGGGCTGGGCGGCTCTGGCGGGGCTGCAGGCGCGGCCGGATAAGTTCGGGGCGGTGAGCGTGAATTTGGCGGAGTTGAGCCAGCCTTTCCGTCTGGAGCGGGCCATTTTCGGGCGATGGCTGCGCGGCAAGTGCCGGCGGGGGCCCCGGGGACGCAGGGCGGGGGGCGGGGGGCAGTGAGTCGGTCAGCCAGTCTTCCTATGAGCCGTGAGCTCACCTTCACGCACGCACAGCTGCGGTCGTGTGGTGAGTGGTGTCGGCAGAGGCAGTCGAAGGAGGAAAGATGCAGTTTCCTGTGCCTTACGGCATATCCTAACGTAAACCTCCCTATTTTATGTGTTAACACCAAAATTTACTGCTTAAAATGCCAAGCTGGCAGCCGCTCCACCTGTCGCAGTTGGCATGTTTCTCACACCTATGGTAGTTTGACCAGCGGTAAATGAAAATACACACTTTGACGCATTATTCCTATCCGTTGTGTGCGGTGAGGTTTACAACCAGAAGGAGCAACTGCGAGGGGAGTCTCAGAGGCGGCGGTGGCATTCAGCCTCCTCTGCTCACTTTCTCTTGCAGGTGCTGTGGCCCAGTGGAGGGAGGAAGGCTGCGTTGCTGTCTGGCTGCACGTCCCCATTTTCCAGAGTGGGTTTGCGGCAGTAGCCGCTTCACAAGGCTTTACTTTCCACCACGCTGAGCAGGGCTCATCCACCTTGACGCTGTGGCTGGGGGAAGGGCCCAGCAGGCTGCCGGGTTATGCCACCCACCAGCTGGGAGTTGCAGGTTAGTGACTAAAGCGGTTGCACCCACAAACAGCTTTATGAACAAGCCTCTGGGAACAGGTTCAGTAAGAAATCATCTGCACAACAAGCACACAGAAAACAACTGCTTACTGCTCAGGTAACTTTACAAACTGAAGTGTGTCATTCAGAAATCAGAGAATGGTTTGAGTTGGAAGGGACCTTCAAAACCATCTTGTTCCAACTCCCTTGCCACAGGGAGGGACACCTTCTGTAAGAACAGGCTACTCAAAGCCCCATACAGGCTGGCCTTGAACACTGCCAAAAATGTGCCTGTATGGCAGGGCATATTGCTAATAACAGGCTGCTAAAGTGAGAGGTGTCTCAAGAGAATTCCAGTTTGAAAAAATTATAAATAGCTCAGGGAGAAGAAAATGTGTTGCTGAAGCTTTTAAATTTTAACTCAGGAATATTGTTTTAAAACACCATTTTGAGAAGCATATCTCGGCTTTCACCTAGCAGATGAGAGAGGTAGGATTTCAAGGTTCAAACAGTTTTTGAAAAGCAAAAAAGTAACTACAGACTTATGAGAAAAACAAATCACTTCTCTGCTCCCTCTCCTTTCTGTAGATGCTTAGTTATGTGCATCTGCCTAAACTATGCTCAAGTTAAGGTCTGTAAATAGGGCAAAATGACCCAATAGCCGTGTTTCAGGGGATGGCACAACCACTGACCTAAATTACAATGGTCTAAGAGCTGCTCTAAGCTGCACCTAGAACTCCACAACCCAAATAAGTATATTTCACAAACAAACATCTGAATACCATGCTGTTACCCATCTGGACCTCCCGCAACCACAGCTGAAAAGGATTTGCTCAAAAAACTGATACAGTTCCCAAGGAACTAGATAAGATAGTTTCCCCACCAACACCTTTTCCTTTATTACATCACAGTAAAAGGAACTGATCATGAGCCAAAAATACAATCAACTTGAACTGTGCTTCACCAAATTTGAATGGTTCTGTCCTCCTTCCCAGCAGGCTTCTACAGAAACATTACTACCAGTTCTATCAGTCAGTAGTGTCCTGTAAACTAAAGATTGGTTTGGACCCCTCATGTACTGGTAAAGGGTGGATACAGCAGAGGGACAGCAAACCTCTCCCATTACAACCTTGACTCGTTTGTCCTTGGCTTGCAGAGACGCTGTGGGACATTAATTCTTCACCAAGTGCTGTTAAGACCCATAAATAGCAATTTGAAAAATCTAGTTAGGAAGAACTTACAAAAGCTGGATTATTCTATGTAGCAGTAGGTCAGGTGAAAGTAAAGTTTGGAAAAACAAAGCTTTCAATTGAAAAACAGCTCTGCTACTATGGGTATTGTGATTTTTCTGTTATAACGCCAGCAGAGGTCAGGGTAGAAGCTGAAGACAGGCCTGGATATTTTCAGTTGACATGTTAGAGCATGTTTTTCTGAGGTATGAAAACCTCACCATTAAAATATGCAGCATTAAATGCCAGTAAGATAATGCATTCTAACAAAAGCACCATGTTACTCCTTATAGTTGTAACTTGCATGTTCAGGGAGACATGACTTAACTGAAAGGGGATTTTTCTGAAAGAGTTTGAAGAACTGAAAGAATTAGAAGAAAATAATGTAATAGATGTGTTCTGACCCTGATAGTTATCAGGAAAGACTTAATATAAGAAAAATTGTAAGTCTGAGAAACTCTGAACATTTGAAAACATGAAAAACGCCCTTTCAGGGCACAATTTGCTGCTGTACGTTGGAATATTTTGTGCATAGAAACATCTGCAAGTAGGAAAAACTTTGAGGGAACAAAAAGTTGCATAAATGCAGGTATATGGATTTCATAATTTATTGCCCAGATTTAAGACTTGCACAATGTATAGTGTATGTATCCTTTGCAGTCACTTTCCAGATCTCTAGGTTCTTACTCATTATTGGGAGTTTCTTTAAAAGAGGTAAAGACCTAAGGAAGACATTTAGGCAGGTAAAAAAAACAGATTTCTGTGTGCTAAGTAACAACTTCAGTATTTTGGGGTTTCCTCTGTTCCACTCGCTCTTGGTAGTTCTGGAACACATCCCAGGGATACACTAAGTAGTGTGGATAACACCTGGCGTACTGTTATTAAATTATCCTTAAGGAGTGAGAGCCTTTGGTAGCAGAAGTTCTACTTTTAATTTATGTTATTGAAACATTTAAAGTAAATAATTTTTTAACAAAATTAAATTACTTGAATATGTGTATTTTGTGTGTGTGTGTGCCAAACCCTAGACTTTTTTATTTGCTGAACAAAAACCTGTATTTTAGAAAGCCTGTGCAGCGAATTTGCTGATGAGAAGCTTCATCTCAAAGCTGTGGCAGATCAGTTAAATACAGCACTTAGTCCCTTGCTCATCCTGAAAATAAAAGGCAGGGATGTTGAGTGTGGTTTGCCAACCTACGGGATGCCAGCCCAGGCAGCAGACAACAGGTAGCAAGTCCATGTTGCCAAGTAGACCAGCAGCTGGTTTTCGTCCTGTCTGGAGTTTCCCACATGGTAAATGCTGTGCAGCCAGGGCTAGTGCTTCAGCATGGTCTAGCCAAGTGATGACAAAGGTGTGAATAAGCAAGGTCAGGTCATATTTTGCCAGACTAGATCAGAGTCACCAAGCAGTAAGCAGCAAACGTTACTCATTGGGCTCGGTCATTATTGTTTAGAAATAGTGGAATATGTGATGTGTCTTCCAGCTAACTCTAACTTACTGTGTCCGCTTGTAGGCGTCAGGATTTTCCAGATATGTAAAGGTACAGAAAAGCTTCCTGTGTATGAAATGATTAAGAAGTTTTTGAAAAGCATTTCCAAAATTCTCCACCTCCTAGGAGGAACTGGTCTGCCATCCAGAAAGTTATGTGTTTATAATGATATACTTTAATTAAGTTTAATTAAGTTAATTAAGTTAATATACTGTGTAACAGTGGCATAGGAAGACGAGGAAGGAAAGTAAAAGGAGAGGAAGAAAAGTAAAAGTCACTGTCTTCCCCCTTGCATGTAATATGAGCCTTACAATGTGGCTGTTATTTTCAGTCCTACCTACCTTAAATCTGGTTGTTGAAACAAAGTCTCCACACACACACTCACATGATAGCCTTGGACGGTCCTGTTACTTAAGAAAGGGTGTAAAATACGCAGCTGCATAAATGTCAGACTGTACAGGAAGCTGGAGTTAGATAGGTTATGATGGTCCAAGGAATCAAAAGTGATTCAAAAGCAGTTCCCAAGTTCTTTTACAAAGTAATACCTATTCCTGTCTGCTGCCATTTACAATGCAAGCAGTCGTGTGTGCTCATTACTTCGATGACAAGTGCTTTTCAGTGCCGAGCATCTTTTCATACAAGCTGACATCGGTGACAAATAAAACAGGTAGAATGAAGGTATTTTTCTCCTCCAGTATTTTCTTACCTATTTCTCAAAATAGAACATTCAAAACAAAGCAGTGTTATAATAGCAATTACTTGGTTAGGTCACAAGCATAGAGTCATAGAATCATAGAATAGTTAGGGTTGGAAAGGACCTTAAGATCATCAAGTTCCAACCCCAATGCCATGGGCAGGGACATCTCGCTCTAAACCATATTACCCAAGGTCTCTTCCAACCTGGCCTTGAACACTGCCAAGGATGGAGCATTCGCAACCTCCTTGGGCAACCCATTCCAGTGCCTCACCACCCTAACAGGAAAGAATTTCCTCGTTATATCTAATCTAAACTTCCCCTGTTTAAGTTTTAACCCATTACCCCTTGTCCTACCACTACAGTCCCTAATGAAGAGTCCCTCCCCAGCATCCCTATAGGCCCCCTTCAGATACTGGAAGGCTGCTATGAGGTCTCCATGCAACCTTCTCTTCTCCAGGCTGAACAGTCCCAACCTTTCCAGAAAGTCCTCCTCCTGTTGGATGATTTAAAGCTTCAGATACCACATTTGTAGCAAGAAGGGGAGCTTTTAGAGCTGCAGTCCAGAGCCTGTAGTGGAGGTCTGATCTTCTAAGATTCTAACGTTGATTCAGCTGAGGGACTCCTGAGTGACACTTGAGAAAATGAGACAAGACAGCCAATCCTAGTGTTTTTCCTTTCTTCTTGCTTTGGATTTAGGTATTGTCTAGCAGAGATTTTGGTCATCTCATAGAGAATTTCACTGCCAAAAATTACATCAACAGGCATTGATTTCTGTGGAACAGAGGAAAGAAAAAGTGGTTTTGTTTGATTCAAAGTGTAGTTTCCTGTCTTCAGCAGTTCTCCTTGGTCTCAGCAAACCATTTAGTTGAAGAACAGCTTTTCTAGAATATAATCCTTGTAATGGCAGCATGCATCAAAAGTCGTCCCTGCTTTTAATCAGTACAGTTCTTGAAC